ACACAGCAATTAAAACCTTGGATATTGAATGGAGATTCTTTGCTTATTGTCAAATATAAATCTGTTACCCAAATAAACACACAGCAATTCAATATCCATTCAATATTCAAAGTTGGCTCTTTCACCACCATCATCAATAATTCCAGTGTGTCATGCCACAGTCAAGAACACTCCTACAATACTATTAAAATGTTAACATACCCTCACAGGTTATTTTGGTGTTCTGAAGACCCAAATTTGCTACTGTTTTGTTGCACATCAGCGCTTGTTTCAGCTGCTGGATGCCACTGTTCCCAAGATTATTATTTCCCAAATTGAGTGTCTTCATGTTCTTTACTTGTGGCTGGAAATATATTTTTTTTTGTTATGAAACACACTCTGTTGAATAATACATATTTTTTTAGTTTAACTAGAGAAACCTCCATTTACACACAGTGCTGATGTAATTACTGAAATATATGTTGAAGACTCAGAATTTCTTAATTAAAAAATATTCTTCCCAACATCACTTACAATATTATTAATTATCCATATTATGATAATATAAAAAAAAAAAGCTTAAGATTGTTTCAGAACTTATTGATCACTGGCATTATTAAGGTTCAAACACTTTTGCTGACTTGAAACTCCAGGACTCAAACTTGTTTTTTAATCCCTTCAGTTTTTTATGTAAAATAACATACCACCATCCCCCATTTAGTGCAGTTAATACATTTACAAAAAATGCTGTGCTAAAGAAAAACATGTTAAATGAAAATCAATTTCCCATAGGAATACATGTAATAAGGAAGGGATGTGTTCCTGACCAAAAATGTTGTGGACACAGAAACTTCCAAATCTGTTTTCTGATATTAATTAGATACTCAAACATTAAAGAAGTATATAAAATATTAAACAAACCTGAAAATAAGAAAATACCACTGCACAGAATGAAGCCACTACGACATAAACTGAGCATATGGCGCATGTGCAGCACTGCATTGGAGAGTCCCATTTTCTATTTCAAAATCTTGCTAAATCAAAAATTACTGTTGTAATTGCCTGTACTAATCAAAAACTTCCCTAGTATGGAAACAGCTTTAAAACAAAAAATGTGCTAAACAGGGGATGCTGATAGTTACATTTGGAAAGACAACCTTGACCATACACTTGTACTGTAGTGTCAAAAAATATACTGACACTCTACAAATCATGAATAAAATAACATTTAGTACTTTTTCCTTATTAATAGTAATGTGACTCTTTTATTCAATATATATATACATACTTTAACTGTCAATGTCAAAAGCATTTATCCTACTTCTTTAAGTCTTAAAGAATCCTGTAATACAATACCAAACAAGAGCAATCAGAGAGATTGCATACCCTTGCCCTGCCTCTCCTTTTCAAGATTGCATGTGTATATATTGGATAACGTAAAATTTAACTTCAAAAACTCAAAAAATCTTTCTCAGATCCAGAATGATCAATGACCAGGATCATATTTTGTAGCATGATGAGGAGTCTCAACCTTAATGTGCCCATGAAATTTGGTACAAATCTGATCACACTTAACCAAAAATCATGAAAATTCCCTATCTCCCCATTATAATCCAGAATACAAATTTGAATCCACACCAAATTTTGGGAGGATTGTCCCATACTGACTTCTGGTCTTGTGTAAAATTTTCATGTCCATCGGTCTATTATACAAATGCAGAAACACACACAAACACAATACCCTCACAGGGCAAGGGTAATTTCTTTTTATAGAGATCACTATCATTTACTTTTCAACTTTAATGTTAGTTAATAACTAGAATTTTATATATTCCTCATGAACTGCCAAAGTTCAACCATTTGCTCTTTAATGGTCTAAGGTTCAGCAGTTTTTTTCTCCTTTTAATTCTAAGCATGCTGTTTGATTTGGTTATATGTGTTATCTGCTTTGTTGTGTCAGGTTTGAAAGTAAATTTGTCAGTGCAAGTGTGCAGACTGGCTCTGACTCCATTCTCTCAGGCCATCTACTTGGCCCACCAAAGATTTTCTTTTCAATGATTGCTGCCGAGTCTCATTGATCATCAAGACATGGCATGTACTTTTCTCTGGTGCAATCAGATGCTAGCTGCATTTATTTCTTATTTCCACCTTAAGCATTCTACTACTGGAATTAATGTTATCAATTTTGATTCTCTGTACAATAACAGACTGGTCTTGTAGATTCTTCCAATGCAATTATTTTATTTATACTGAAATCCTTTTTAACAAGATGCCTGCCTATGTGAAAACACCAGTAGAAATTTAATTACTTTCCAAAGAATACTACTAGAATCACAGGTATGTCCATAGAATAGTTCATCAATGGAGTGTTCCATTTTGGCATGATCAAATTCTTTAAACTTAGTAAAAGACTGAGGATCAATTACACTAATATAATCTCCAAAATGCCTCAGAATCTCACGACAATTGTTATTTTACTTTCTTTGCATTTACCACAGCCATTCAGAGCAAGTTTGTTTCATCAATGAAAGCATCACAACTGGCTATCATATAACATGGATCTAAACATTTCAAGCAACCAATCTTGAAATACATGACATTTAAGTCACTTTGTTGGAAGGTGTTTGAACTCTTGTCCACTTGCAAATCATACATGTTTTTTATTTTTTGTAACTGCTTCTATGTTGTTGTTGGGGCTTCTTTATCCACAATGTCAGTTTTTATGAGATGTTACATCAGTTACCTTATGATGCAGATAAGGTCATCACTGAAGAATGGAAGCAATGGCTTGTCAGAGTGGTGGATTGCGAGGAAGAGGGCAATTTACTTCGCTGCCATGAAGAAAAACTGCATCTTTTCTCCAACCACTGGGTTACTGCCTATCTGTTTTAATATTTCAACTGAATTTGTTCTTGGATCCTTGATGTCTTTTTTTCTCAACTTTGTCCTCAATGATGATTATACTGATCCACTGAAGTACAGGTACATTTCCCAGCTAATGATGCAGCTAGAATTTTTGTGGAAATATATCATTACCTGTAGCTTTTGTAAAGACTGTCCTAGTCGGAGTATCCTTGAATAACCAGTATGCATATTAAAGGAAGTGTCCATTAAACCATCTATAAATGCACCGTGTGTAGGTCACAACCACCAATGTTTAATGGTATTATCCATCTGCAGCTGATTTAGTGAAAATCCAAAAAAGTTCCAGTTTACTTTTTGATCTATCCATGAAAAGTTGAATTACGTTTTACACATTACATTCATTTACATTGTTAACAAACATTTGGTAAAATATATCAGAATAAACATGGTCCAAAAATTCAGATTCATAATACCTAGTAATGACAAGGTTATTATCTCACAGGTGGACATGATTATCTTAACTGTTTGGACTTTGTGCTAAAATTCAGACAAATGAAAATGGAGTCTCTGAGCAGTTTTTAAGAGTATGATGATAGGCCAAAATGTTATAAACAAGCAGATTTGTACTCACCACAAGTGAACATTGGAGTAATTTCTCTCTCAGGAAGTACACTCTGGAAGATCTTATCAACAACCTCATTCAATTTGTATGAATGTTGTTGTTGTTTTGTCATACTCATGGACCAGATAATTTCTGCCTTCAACGTGCCTTCTTTTAAACCAAATGGCAAAACTGGTGCTGGTGTGAAGATGAAGTTGATTTTGTTATTTGTTTTTATGTTTAATGAAGTCTGTTATTGATGGCAAATTATCCTTGACATTCTGTAGCTTTGTAATCATCTCTATGTGCTTTTTTTTCTGTGCAACATGGTTGCCAAGTGCCTCCTATATTGCATATTTCAAACAACTGGACACATATAATACATTTTACTTTGTGGTGATCTTGGGTCCTTTTCTTAACTTACTGAACAGTACTGTGTTAAGGCACTGATGGGATCTAGGTGAAGTATAGAATATTGGGCTACACTTGTTTTTAAGAAAATACAATACAATTTGATAAATTAAATTTATTAGTGATAAAAATTAAAGAAAAAATATTTTATGGTTTATTTTTATATTATTTTTAAATTGAATAAATCAAGGACACACACTCTGCCCTCTCCCACCCCAGACCACACTGTGCTCTCCCTCTTGCATGTGCAGATGGCCCTGGTCAACTTGCGCCCTTTGTCCATTGGATAAAATAATCCGGTTACTGGATATATTTAGGATTTTCATATCAAGTGTCACTGAATACACACTTCCCTGGCATTATTAATAACTTAAATTATTCTTGTTGAACAGGCACTTGAATTCTTAACACACGATGGATGCTATTTATGTTGAACAATAACAAAAAAAAAAAAGCACCATTCAAAATGGACACCATACTTGCCAAATATCCAAAAAGGTCTGAAGAGGCCTTCCTCTTGTGTTCTGATGTATTTTGTTTTTCATATCTCATGCATTTTTTAATAACTTTCAAATACATGATTTCTCCTTGGCTAATAATATCAAATTCTACTATGTGCATTTGTTTCATCATTGTTTCAAGGAACTCTCATCCTTGATTCATGCACTTGCAATGCATCCTGGTGGAAAATTCCATTCTCTGCAAGGTGACTCAACAGACTTCACCATTTACCCATGAAAGAATGACTTGTAGGTATACAAGATGATTCGTAGACATGTATGCAAGTGTAGGCTGATTATCTTGTACAAAAGAGTGCAGATAACTAACAATCTAATTACAAAGAAATAGTACCAGTCAACATGAACACATGAACGTTCAGTGTACAGTTCTATAAAATGGTGTACAAGTTCAAAGTGATTATTGAGTTACAGTGTTATATATATACCGTACTGGCAGAGAAAACACATGTGTGCAGGACTAGTATGAATTACCTCACTGTTGACTGAACCATTCAATAATCACCCATGCTAAACACAACCTGTTAAAAAAAAAATTTTCCCCTGAAAAGTAATTTTCCGTGACTCTCCAGGTTTGTAAGCAACCATGTAAACCCTCTATCATATGAACAACACCAAAAAGGCTAAAACTTTCAAATGATGATTAGATGTAATGTGTAAAGTGACACCTGTTATTTCCAGGTTATTTCATATATTTGTAAGCACCCATGTAAACCCTCTATCATATGAACAACACCAAAAAGGCTCAAACTTTCAAATGATGATTAGATGTAATGTGTAAAGTGACACCTGTTATTTCCATGACGCTCCATCCTTAGTATCTTAAACAAGCTGTTTTAGTTCATTTCATGACAGTGTTTCACATCAGAAGATAAAACGCTTTCCAAAAATTGACTGTGTGTTCCAAGAGTAATGCAATAACAATTTGCTCCTCTTAAAAAATGAAATACTATTATGACAAATACCTCCATGGGTGGGTACTTTTGAACATTATATTAAACCATATTTTTAAACATTAGACTCTACCTTAAACATTTAAACTAAAAACCATGTACAGATTTGCAACATTTTTGTTTTACAAAACCATAGGTACTTTTACATAAAACTCTAAATCAAACCATATTTGTTGAACCAAGTTCAGAGGAGTATTGCAATTTTACTGAATGTTAGGGAAATAGTTATTAGTTAATTTGTATTAATAAATTATCATAAGACTTATTTATTGAATATCATCTGAAGACCCTAAACATTTTTTTAATGATGTATACCAGCTGAATCGAGTTGTTTGAACATGTAATCAAAATTGTATTCAACCTTTCGAATATGATCACTTTAACTTGCTTATTATAAAGAGTCAGTACTCACAAGTGAGTGAACCAAGTGTTTCATGCCATTACTTGTGATTTGGTTGTTCCACAGTACTAGTGTTTGTAGGCCTGATCCTCCCAAAGTGGGTTGTTGAGTTAATCCATCTAGTATGTGACACAGTCCTAAGTCCTGTTCACATAAAATACTCATATATCTCACTCAGTAACTTGACAGTCTGATACAAAAAACAAAAAGTAGCATCATCAAGAAAGATTATGTTAAGTTTAATGTAATTTAAGAGTTACGTGATGTTAAGAGTAGCTACAATTAATGAGAAAATAAATTTTATCACTTGTACATTCTGGCTAATACTTAAGAGTAACTTTATTTATTATTTCCAGCTTCCCACTCCATTTGAATTGCAACAGGAGTTAGTTAAAGGTGGATTAGTTGTGCTAAGAGACGTTTCATATTATGTTTGGTAATTTTGTTTTGTTTTTATTATACTTAACTTGTTAATTATAATTAAAGTATCAATATTTTTTTTCTATTTATTGTATGATTTTGTTAATTCAATTTATTGTTTGTTACTCTTTATCTGTCTAATCATCAGGTTATTTTTTTTCAGTACTATCTGTGCCATCCTGCTATCTGGCTCTACATAGTTAAACAATAACAAGTCTTAATAATTTATCTCAGATGTCACACTACTCTAAACTTACACTTTCCGAGCCACTTAAAAGGTTATCGCTGGCTCGTTCTCTTTGTGGCAAATCTACTAAGGCTATCTTCTGCCATTTCTAATTTTGAACCACAGACCAAAGAGAAGGCAACCAGCCAGCAGCACCCACTGTCAACTTTTGAAATATTATTTTACCAATGAATAAGAGTAATTGACTGTCTCATTATAACACCCCTATAGCTAAAAGGGCAAGCACCTTTGGTGCCAGGATTTTAATCCCATGACTTGCAGATTGCAAATTTAGTGTCCTAGCTACCAGGTCAGCTTTCACTTATTACTAGACATTGTTCAGGAGACTTATATTAAGTTTTGCATATACTAATATCAAATTTTTCAAGGGTCAGGAAATTGGTGATAGCACATGAAGCAAATAATTAGTTTTTATGTGTTTATTAAATGTACTTAATACTCTAACCTTTACGTATATATTAACAGTATTGATTAGAATGTTTAATATATATAATAACAGTTTTCTATTTTTTCTAAATTTTTCATTATATGTACTTTTATTATAAGGATTATTTGGCATTGTTAACTTAGTATATAGATTTAGAACTAACCAAAACCTTTCAACTGTCCAAACCTCAAAAAACATTATTCAAAATAGAGCCAAAAATATTGATAACATTGACAATACCAAACTGACAAACAATGTATTCTAATAATTAAACATAATAACATAATAATAGTATGTAAAATTAGCTCTATTCATTACTGAGTTAATTTTCTAGTTTTGACTTTTGGTTCATGTAATTAGCTTGATTTGATCAGAGTTTAAGATTTTCAGACCACACATAAAAACAAGGTTTTGTTTTGTTTTTAATTTTGCACAAACCATCCCTAACTTAGAAGTGATAGACTAAATGGAAGGCAGCTAAGTCATCACCTCCCACTGGCAACTCCTGGTCTATTCTTTTACCAATGAATAGTGGAAGTGACCATCACATTATAATGCCCCCATGGCTGAAAGGGCGAGCATATTTGGTGACAGGGATTCAAACCCCTGATCACCAGCCCATGCCAGCCTCCACCCCACCATATAAAAAGGAAGAAAAAAAAAAGGTAATACTGCTGTGTTTTAAGCAAATAGAAAGTACTAGTCACATTAGTGCAACATAGTCTTCTTTTTGCATTTTCTGTAATAGCATATTTTAAGGATAAACTGACCATTTAGTTGCAAGTACTCATTGTTTTGTGATCCCTATGTGTCACCACCTGCACATTCATTATAAATGAATTATCTGCACACAGATAAACGAAGATTTTCTTATAATTAATCCTTAACACTTATGCTAACCAATAAATTTCTTTGAAAAGATAAACTATGCCAGTACTGATAAAGAATAAAAAATAATAGCTTTGAAAGTTTTACTGAGACTTGTGATATGAGAACAAACTCATTTAAAAGAGGACTTTGATATTTCATTTAACCTTCATTATCGTTACCTGTAAGTTATTGTTCCTGAGATCAAGCATTTCTAGCCAGCTGTTGGCTCTCAATAAATTTCCAATCTGAAGACCATCAGCTGATGATATTTTATTATCTCCAAGAAAGAGTTCTTTTAGTGTGTTGTTTAGTTTCAGAGCAGCCACTGGTAGAGGTAAGAAAAAAAACTTCATTAGAAAAAAAATCCTCTACATGATTCACGATACACTAAAAAGAAACTGAAAGAAAATAAATAATCATAATTTTTATATATTAGTACACAGATTGAAATCTACTTCAAAACAGTGCTCAAATTCGTTTTAAAAAGATTACTAACAAACTAATGATCTGATGTACTTTTTGCAGAGTTAATAAAAAAGTCTTAGACACTAAAATGACGTCACGTAGGGGACACTTGATGTTGCAATCTGTACTGTTGTGACATCAGTAAAACGTGTGTATCCCTCGAATCACGAGAATAATTATACACCCTGTAGGCTACAACACAGTATGACATATGAACTTCAAAAATCAAGAAATAAAAATATTTGTTACTCTTAATTTTGGTTTTATTTGTTCTTGAAACAGAACACTTTTGGGAACTCTGCACAAATATATCTAGTATATACAGATATACCAGGAACTACCTCATTGATCAGACACTAATTAGATCAACATTAAGGTTTAACAGCAACTTTGCATAAAATAAACATTAAAAGCAGATTACAAAACAACTTTTCCAGACAGGGAGAATCAGTACAATTGTAGCTTTAACCTTTTCCAAATGGGCTAGGTATAAAATACACAAGTTTGTATGCACATTTGCCCACGTTATGTATATATATATATATATATATATATATATACTACTAACTTTTAATGCTGTATGTGTATCTTCAACAAAATTTGGTAGTACTTTTAATAATGATTACAAAGTGTTTTGTACAACAAAAAATACAGTATTTTTTCTATGAAGTT